AAGTTTAGTAAAGATTGAAAGACTTTTGCAAATGGCCTAAGTTTAGAATAAAATTTACGGGAGAGTGGTCTAACCTCTTTGAAAATATAAATGCTTACAACATGTTTTTGTGAAGTCAACGCTATTGGTGGTTATGTAATTGTCTGTTGCTGTTGTTGAATATAAATCAACTCTTTATAGAAATGATTTTTTCTGATCACAGCAATAATTAGTTATACTTATTATAAATGTGTTAGTGGTATTATTAGAAAGCAGGAAAAGTAAGTGCTACAGTATTTAAGTGTTTATTTTCTAATACTGTTTAAACTGGAGGAGCTGATATACAGCATGAGATTCAAACGAGAGAAAGTTCCATATACATTTATCTCTTCCGTTGGTAAATGTTTTTTTCTGACACTAAAAAGGTTTAAAAAAAACTTGATATTTTTGCTGGCATTTTACAACGATTGTCGTGGTTTTAGAAGTCTTTATTTGAAAAATCATTTCTTAAGGTCATTAATACGATAAGAATACAGAAATAAATTGATGAACAAATTGATGAAAATGAAATGATGTAGGAACAAGTATTCTGTTGGATGTTTATTCATGTATTTGTTTAAATAATCGTGTAAGAGTGCAGAAAATATATGAGTGTCATGGAAATTAACATTCCCTTTTCACTCCTCTGCGCTAAATTGCATCTAACCTTTACCTTTGCCCTAGAATTCGGTGGTCAGATAGTGGGACATCGTTTTCGCAGAGACCACATTTGAGCCAAATCTTTAGGTATGTTATACTACAATTTTTGTTTTTATAAAACCGGAAGTAGAATACATGTGTTTTTTTTTTTATTAACAATCAGTGGATATTCTTCTCAATTTCTTATTATAAGCTATTTTAGTGAAATACATTAAGTTTACTTACTTCTTGACGTAATCCATTCACATACAATCAAGAATAAAAACATTTCTTGAATTGAATTCGGTACCTTATTGTGGGATGTAATTTCTTCAACATATACCAATAATATAGTGACGATGCTATAGTTGTTATACTACTTCTATTTGGTTTATACAAACGTTATACAGATAAACGTATGATACAGATTTCGCTGCGCGTGACACTTTTACAGGAAAAGTCCTCAGCGAGATTCGCCCTAGATCGAAAATATGAAATTCAAGACATCACTGTAGCCCTATTGAAATTTTCCTGTCACTCATCTTTATTGAAAGTAAATATCAACAAAATGATTAGTTTTGTATCTTGACAACCTGACTGTAAACCAATATCATATTCATAATAGCCGACTTTTTTACAGTACAGTATTTGAAAAAAAGAGTTACCTTTCCTGACTTTCGACCGTGATCTTCGCTCTTTTCTTTCTTTATCTTTCGGCACTTTACTTAATCGACAGCTATTTCCCAGAAAAACGTCAGCAGACCGACGACTTTGACCTATCCTTTTGCACTTTTTAAGATCTGATTGTATACTTGAGAGTCGAAGTTCTAGTTCGTCCCTTTGCTGTTCGGAATGTACCTGTTCCGAGAACAAATGTGCAATTCGGTTTTCAGCTAAAGATAATGATTTCTCAAGATTTTGTATTTGCATATTTTGATGTTTAATTGCATTTTGCATTTCAAGCATTACATTTTTTGAAGACAAACCATCTTCATCATCAGTAAATTTACTACAAGAAGCATCCAGCACTAATGAAATGACAACTATAACCAAACACTTAAACAAATGCATTGTACTGCAATGTACGACACTGTATGAACTAGATTATTCACTAAGTTCGTGTCATCTTATCGTTATAACTGGTATCTTTATATACATATATATTCCTTATCATATCCATTTAAACTAAAGCTTCAAACTTTTATGTTAGTTTTACCTATATAAGTAGATGATTCGGTTCTATGTATACATAAGATTTTGTTCGAGTAATACACAAATGTTAAAGATATCAGAGAGTATATTGGATAAGAGACCACAACCAGCCCCCAACACATTACCTCTAAACAATCAGACGTACCATCGAAGGAAAACACTTATTAACAACACATGATTCAGATAACCTGACCTGATGCAAGCACAACATTAGTTTGGGTTAAAGCAGTCGTTCGAGCATACAAAACGATAAAAGAATTGTTGGTCCATGAAAATTGATCGTTATTACAATAAATCTTACATATTTGGCATTAGGGTTTCATTTTGAGATCTAGTCATTTATATATAGATTTGAGCAACAAAGCTTCACCCAAACAGATATTTTGCTACACAAAGCGTTTTAAAAGATGTTAATGTGTGTAAAATATCTCTTAGGTAGAGCTGTTGTTCTTATATATTCTAACCAAAAACTATGCGAAATGGCCGTTTTAGGTAAAATAAGCAAGTTTTGCCATGTTATAACGACATCACAAGTGACTTTATATACTAAAATGTCCAATTTTTATTAACCTCTTCATTTATCAGTAAAGCTGACACAATGATGAAAGGCTTGGATAAGTTAACCATTTTTGCAATTTCAGGGGTCAAATGAGAAGTGTTTTATTTTGCTCGGTATTTAGTTTGAACATAAGTGATATTTATAAGAGGCAAAATAAGTGTATCGGTGTTTAGATCTCGTTAATCTATACTTAATCTAAGCTTAATATACTAAATTGCATGAACTCGCGCTTCGATAGCATGAACGTCTCCTGCTACGCATGCTTTAACTGTCTTTCGAATACTGACAAGGGAAGGAGTTCGACACAATCGGAACAGAACAGAAAACTATTCATATATCGAAGTGTCTGTAATAAAAGAAAACACCTCGCTATTGAGCCGAGAGACAGACCCACATCTCAAGTAGTGTTGCTTTTTAGTAGTTCTTCTTATATCGCTGCATGAAAAATGTTTGCGTTAGAAGCACACTTCTTTTACTGAAGACCATCATTGTAAACATTTATGAGAATAACTTATCAATTGAGAACTACAAAAACGTTTCGATTATAAGGCAGAGAGAATGTTCCTACTGAAGAAAAACACATTAGCGACTAATTTCTACATATTATATATATTTAACAAAGGTAGCCTATGCGTAATGTATTCGTAATGAAACCGACTCGGTAATCTTGTACCAGTGTTCTCGCTTTGCGAGTGCAGTCGTTCGCGGATTCGATCCCTGGCCAGATCAAAAGACTTGAATAGGCATTTTTTGCTTCTCTGCAAAGTGCATGACATTTATGAGTAAGTGCAAAGACGGTTTGACCCACATTCTAAATAATGTGCCCGGGCAGGATGACACATTTTTTACTGCGGAATGTTTTCTAGTGAAAGGTCTTGTCAAAATTCGTTTAAACGAGTCGGTCTAGAACACAGCTGGGTTCAAATTCATATCAAATTAATATGTTCTCGTCCAGAATTTGCAATAATTTGCCATTAGATGTTAAACATTCATCAATTTATCCATCTTAATTTGTAATTGACGAAACACAATGTTCAAATTGAATAATTTCCTGTTTTCCAGAATAAATCTCAGTAAAGAAACCTTACCATAACAAAACTTTATAAATATGCGACATCCGTAGTAAAATATAAATGTTGTCGCTTGTGTATTTTTCTCAGGCTTAGAATGTTATTAATGAACAGTTATCAATGAAAAAACTGAAACTGACACGTATATGTCATAGATTCTAGTTGGATGTCATCCATCTATGTCAATTATAAAAAAAAACGACAAATATATGAAGCAGACGTTCGATAGAATGAATGCGATGCAAGCACTCTCCGATATGTGAGCTATGGAGTGATCGAATATCATCAAAATATCTAAAAGTTGAATTAAAGAACTAAGCAAGATCCGTTTTTGGTCGTTGAAGCGGTTTTAAATGAATTGAGCTTCATTTGTGAACAGCGCAAGAGCTACGATAAGCCATTAAGAATGCACAATAAACACTTTAGGGTATTTTGTTACCAGTACCCCAAAATAGACTAATATGTTCTCAATAAAAAAAGATCGGTATTTTGATGATACGTATTTCGTGTATTTGCTGTTGGACACAGTGCATTTCTTAACAATGTAAGAGTTTTCTTGACCCCAAAAAATAACTGTGTACCTACGATTGTTGCTTTTGCAGAAAAAAAAACCAACTGTTTAATAAGAAGATGTGGCGGATCTTTCAAGTGTGTGTGATCATAACAGCAAAGATACATAGTTGAGATAAAAAAAAGTTATTGTCAGTCCTCATAGGAATAAAAAAATCTGGATGGTATACTTTATCCCCAAATGAACATATGAATCAAGATACAAAATAGCATCTTTGATAATTTCTTTGCATGTCAGGGAAGTGATTTTTTTGTAATTCTTATTACTGAAATGGAATTTAAATGACTAAAACAAATATAATTACCGATTGATCAAATTACGACTTGCGTGAATAGAATAACTCTATTTGTTTGATAAAAATACATGATAGTATGGGATAAAGAGCAGAGAAATCACAAATACTTATCAAAGACTTCAAAAGAATTTGTTAACACTCCTGAAATTCCGTTATTATTATTGGTTTTGTAACAATATTTGAAAACAAGTTCATTAACTGTTTGTTGTTCACTACCTTTTACTTTGTTCTTGACATATCCAGCAGTTTATGGTTGAACGCAATCTTTACTTCTTAATTAAGATATTATTAACCTCCTACTTGTTTTGATAGATTTAAGTAATTGAAGATAAGGTATAGTACCTAGCATGTTTAAATAAAGGCAACAGTAGTATACCGCTGTTCGAAAACTCATAAATCGATAGAGATAAAAGCAAATCCGGGTTACAAACTAAAACTGAGGGAAACGCATCAAATATAAGAGGAGAACAACGACACAACAAAAACACAACATTAAAATGTAACACACACAGAAACGAACTATAATATAACAATGGCCATTTTCCTGACTTGGTACAGGACATTTTAAGAAAAAAATGGTGGGTTGAAGTGTTAAGTGTTAAGGCTTCTCTGTTGTTTCGTATACACGTATTTTTTATTAATATTAAAGTAAGTAAATTGTATATACATTGGCATATATATATAGTTACATTACAAAAAGCAACATGAGCTTTAAGAAGCTATTACATCCGGCTATTTACAACATCAACAATCTATGATGAGTTTGTATATAAAAACATAAAAAACTATACAAACAAAAACACAAACGCTTGTTTTTGAACAATGTTCAATGATATCAGAACAAATAGTATATCAATCCCTTTTACAATTAATTCGTATCACTTAAAAAACAATAAGCAACTTACAAATTGTCCTATACACTAAATATTCAGTAAATATATGTACAGAAAATTAATACAATAGAAAAGTTATTACCAAATCGTTATAAAAGGTGATAATGAGATATGTATATTAATTTAACATAACTATAATACATATTAAAAACAAGACATAAGAATGGGATTTCATCCATGTCAGATTAGCTGCTGTCGATGTAGATAGTAATTGTTGACACCCTGATTGTCCTGGATCATCAGCACATTGTAAGAAGTCAACATCCCTGCAATAAGTAACTACATGTATACATGTATATAATTTAGTCAGACATTTAAACAAATGTTCTATTAAAGTAATTACTAGCATATAAATATATATATTGGTGATGTACATGTCATACCTGTAGAAAGGATGTACTACAGTCTGTATTAAGTAAGACAGACTGTTCCTAAACTAGTATAGTTCCACTATGGCAAATATCACCAATGTATACATTTCTTTCAAAGGAATATGTAATCATTTAGCATTTTTGTAGTTCTTAAAAGACAGATATTGTAAGCTAATGGATTTATCCACGTTATATATTTTAGTATAACTGTTCATGTCTAACCATTGCCTGCACATACCAAAGCGAACCATTAGGCAGCGTTTATTTTGTGATTGAGGGTCATGCGTTCCCTATTAGAGGATCACTTTCCTGGGCTGTTTACAATAAATTAAAGCCAGCGCGTCTGATTTTACTGTTATTCATTACCTGGGATTATCCAAACATGCAGCAGATATTCCTTTTGCTTGAAATCTAGCTCTCAAATCAATAATTGAATCACTGAAGCATGTTTCCCTGAAACAGATTTACGAAATAAATGTCGGAGAACTGCCAAAACAGGACATGTTATTTACATAGTTACAAGGGAATGTTGAACATTGAAAACTTTTGACACTTGACTATTATAAGACCAATTACGTAGAATTATATAAGAATGTGTGTTTTGTTTTACTATGGTTTACATTCCATCTTAGATTCTGCTTGTTTATGGACAGCGAATAATATTCATGAATGTGTATGTTTACATGCTCACGCATTGATGACATTTAATTTCTGTTTTTTTTTATAACTCTTTTAGGTTTGAGGCGTTACATAATGTATAGACACATGCCCACTGTGAAATTGACCATTATATCGAAGATGCATCTGTTGATCCCTTATCTCCTATTTTTTATAGGTTTACATTTTACATGCCATTTCTATGACATGTGGCATAATGCATAATGTAGGTAACCTATGTCTTAACAATTCTTTTTTTTTTAATTAGTTTTGTTTGTTTTAGGGGTCATATATATGACATTTTACCACCTATGCTAGTGAAACTTAGTTTCATTCAAATTTTTGCACGCATTGAGATTAATAAAAATTTGAGAGTAGCATTATTTTACAGTTTGAATCCTTATTTTCGAAATACAACAGAAGAGTTGGTTCACTAACTCATTATTTTGGCTCTTCAAATTTGATACTTATTAACTGCGATAAAGTTATGAAAATGTTATGAAAACATACAAGTATGTTAAAATGTCCAATTAGTTCAGTTTAAAAAGATTCTGACCAATTGCTTCATTAGTGAAGTATTTGTGACGTCACAAAGAAAACCAATATTTGCATAGTTTGCATTTGGCAAAATTTATGTCAGTATTCTGTAAATTTAACATATCGCCCGCAACTGGTTTTGCTGAAATATTCTTTATACGCCATATTCTTTATTTTTCAACCAAACTTTCAATGGGCAAGGGGTGGCGCTATATATGAAGTTATGAACATATTTAATTTGAAAAATGTGACAAATGTCTAGAAAAATGGACTAAAATGAATTCTATACCTATTTCATATTTATAAATATGAGGCAAATATACAATTATTCTTATTATACTTTAAAAATGTTACATTTAGCAATATATACAGATAAGATTTACTCAGGCAATTGCATTTTAAAACAATGCACTTCTACAGAGCTGTTTATTGGGGTTATTGGTTCTACTCCTTTTATAAATAACGATAGCCTTTTTCTTTTATTCACGAAAGTATAATACAAATTATCCATGACATGGCTGGAATAAAACACGAAAGGAATTGTGGTTTAGCTTCAGTTGATCTATTTAAATATGCATAATATATTTGAATTCCATTCTGACCCGATCAAATGAAATATCTTTTAAATTCACTGAAATGTTTGATATTTTTTTTCATCTGAAAATCTGATTCAATGATCACAACCACATAATATAACAAGTAAATAATCCACTCCTTTCCTACAAAGCAGTACTTACAGTAACGGATCAACCTAAAGTAAATAATCAATTCCTTTCCTACAAAGCAGTACTTACAGTAGTGGATCCCCCTAAAGTAAATAATCCATTCCTTTCCTACAAAGCAGTACTTATAGTAATGGATCCCCCTAAAGTAAATAATTCAGTCCTTTCCTACAAAGCAGAACTTACAGTAATGGATCCCCCTAAAGTAAAAAATCCATTCCTTTCTTACAAAGCAGTACTTACAGTAATGGATCCCTCATATAACGCACCATTAGTATTGTTACTTTCTTTACTTTTGTTGCATTAATATTTGGTAGTTCTTGCGTAGTAAAGTACCTAAATGGCAAAAATGTCTATTGTACTACTCATTATACGTGTTTTCCCTTTTTTAATCGACCCTTCTGATATCAGCCGCCGAAAGGGACTCACTAAATTATATTTAATTGTTTCGGGTCTGTCATTATTTACTGATTTTTTTTTTCACACTAACGGAACTAGCTGAAAAACATACCTTCGATTTTTTAAACTTTTCTTAGGTGTCACTGATGATCGAACTTCCTGTTTGAAGTCTATTATTTGTGGTTGATATCAAACATATCGACGCGACATCTCGATTACAATTGGTTGACATTAAAATATCTATGTTGAATATATTTGCGTATTACGGAAACAAAGGTATTTATATTTCATACAAAGGATTCAGAAAGATTTCCAAATTATATCGTCAGCCAAACTTTTCGTTAACAGAAAGCAATTTTAAAAAGATTATAAACGTTAAAACGACATATATAATGTAAGTTTACAACCGCGAGTTGTAGACGAATTAAAACAATAACGTTGGCAGTAAAATTTGTAGCTATCTGTTCGATTTTTTGTTTCCCATTTTTGTTTTGTTTTTCTGTTTTTCTTATTTTGTAGGTTATTTTTTTGAATTATTGCATTGAGGACGAAATTTTTGTCTTTACTTATTTTGTAGTTGTTGTCGTTGTTGCTATTGTACATTGGTATTACATTGCCGATTGTGAATGTTTGATATGGTTCATACATAACCTTTACGAATACATATTTGTAAACATTTCTAAGTGTAACTAAGTGTAACTCGAAGTATGGCTTTTGTTCCTTCCTAGAATTTCTATAAATTATCTATACTTGAAAATATGTTTTATTTTGTACATTATGGATAGAAAAATTTAGGGCAGTATCGTGATGATGACTTTTTTTTTAATTCATGTTTAAATCTTCTACGTGTATACTTTACATTAATAGTTTTGTAGATGAATATTTAAAAGAATTAAGTGTTATTTGAGTTCATCCATATTTTCAATAGAAACATACCATTTTGTCATTTCTATTTGAAATGTAGAATCAACAATTTATTTAAGAACACCCATGTTCCAACAATCGATGAATGATTAACTAAACAGATTATATTTTGAATCGCTTTGTGAGTTTCTTAATTGTGAGCACAAACAAAAGTGTGTTAGTAATATTTTGCTGCACATTTGTACAGTAAAAACAACGTGAAGACTACTGTTAAATCTAGTTAAAATCATCTAATGTGGTACATACGAATCGTTCCGAAATGCTGGCGTTCTACTTGCATTGATCATGACATGGATATTACCCTCTGCAAGTCTTGCAAACTACGAACAAAACAATAAATCTATATTTGCATCAGATAAAGACATTTTGCAATACGTTTGAATATATTTTTTTTAATCTTCCGTTTATTACTTAGAGGCAACAGTAGTTTACCACTGTTCGAAGCTCAAAGATCGATTAAAAAGATACAAATCATGTGAAAAAACATAAAACTGAGGGAATCGCATTAAATCCAATAAGGATCGAGACCGGCTGCGTCGACAGGGTAAGCGTCTCCTGCTATACATGTTTCACCCGAAATGGGAACACAAACTCAGCTAAAATGTCACAATCAGTAAATTAACATATCAGATAACTATTCCTGTATCTACAGATCTAAGATCGCGAAAACATCTCACTAGAGAATTTAGACACAGACACATCGTATCGATCAACCAATTCCTGTTTGTCTGTTTACCAGGGGTGTGCTCCTTACACAGAAACTGCTACAATAGAGTTATGAGATGAGGATGTACGACTGAAATCGACTTAATAAGTTTTACGGTCCCCATCACGAATTGGTTGACCGATACAATAAGTCTGTGACTAAACACACTAGCGACATGTTTCCGAAGTCTTAGATCTGACGATATTTCATGTAGGCACAGCAGCAGTGACTACTGGGCTGGTGATACCTTCGATGACATCTACCAATTGGTTGGAAAGCATCATCAAAGATATCAACCTTATAATTAAGTACACCAGACGGGCTGTTCGTCTATATTAGCATAATCAGTTGAGTTCGAAACAAAACAGTTTAGAAACAAAATTAATTACGTAGTTGAAGAGCATTGAAAACCAAAAGTATTCAAACTGTTGTGCCAAATCGGTCTAATATCACCAAGCTTTTGAAAAAAGTAAAACAAGTGTTTTGAATGAATTCTACGTTTTATCAACAGTAAATATTTCATGTCAACACAGTATCACTAACTTCTTGGCTGGTGATACCTCAGAGGACAAAATGTCCTCAAAAACTAGTAGCTATGTTGACCCAATGGTTGTAAGAACTCACCAGAGATACCAGGTTATACAGGTATGCAAATATAGGAACTCGTAAGCGGGAGTATAACCCCATTGTAATGTCAATAATACGCTCACCCCTCATAACAAATATTTTTTTTAAAATAAATCATCCTTTTTAATGAAACAAAGTTGGACTAACTCTTTCAATTTGTAAACTAAAAATGAAATTTACGTATGTTAAATGGGGGCTGGTAAACAAATATTTGTTTATCATGCACAAGGAGAGGGGCTTTGATCGTAAGTACTCTAACGGATCTTTGGATTAACTGGTTCATACCACCCTTAGAGTATGTTGTTTCACAGTAACTGTAAAGCGAAATTTTGATGGTATAAAATTTAGTAACTTCGACAGTATTTGACAGCAATACAACTCTGAAGGTTGTAGTACTTCAGAACTGGTTACGGTGCTTGGTAATTATTTAAGGTAATAATTTAGTCTTTAGATATATGTTTTTGTACATTTTTGCATGTTACTTACTATCCTATTTACGCTTTAGACCTCAACATTCATACGTGTCTCTATAATTCTGTGTAATAATAAAAATTTAAAAAAATGTTTTCTAAACCCTTACATTTTGCGAGGCTGCAGACCAAAATACTGTTGCGGCAGTTTGTGAACACTGAGAACTTGTACGAAATCCTGGACAGGTTTCCAAATCTTTCTCAATTCCGTCCGATTCTGTTGCATTACCACACCATATCATATTGTCCAGTAAATACCCTATGCATAAATTAACATACATGTTCAGGTACCAATGGTATGCGATAGATGCGATATTAGATATTCAAATAGATAAAATCTTCTTACTATAGTTCAGTTACGCATTGACTTTCGGATGCAAATTAATAAATGTTGGTTAATAATGTCTGTCTATGAAAGAGTTTATAAAAAATATTGAATAATTTAAAAATATTGTTTAAATAGCAATTTGGATGATCAAAATTATTTTTTTATAAGTATCAGGCTAATTGCAATTAACCCTTCTTACGCAAAACTTTAATACTCGATGATAAGAAGTGATAGAGACTGGAAGTCCACAACATTGATAAATCGAAAGATGTTGCCGAATATTAAAAAAAGAAATGTTACAGGACCGCCAGTGATCTAACTTTTATTCTGGTTTCGACTTGTCCTTTCTTAGGATACGAAGAATTGAATGCCGGACGCCGAGTCATGTCCAGGTGAAATAAACAAATTTAAAGAGAAAGTTGATAAGGAATTCAAAATCATTGAATAACAAATGATAGATGAAAAAAAAAATGAATTTGTGTCTTAACAATATTCTCACCTGTTAAAGTGTCTGCAATAGTGAAAAATCGTCGACCTTTATTGCTATAACGCATGACAAGGGAATATACTCCTGACCAAAACATAACCTAAAATAGATCTTCAAATACTCACATGCAATGAAACGCTGGAACATAGTTACTGTTAAGTTCTGTATTATGTGATTATAAAAAAGACTGATAAATATTTTGAATATACTGCAATCAAGAGCACTTGAAAATTTCTTAAATCTGCAACAATTTTAATCTTATATGCATATTTGATTTTCTTTCATGATATCCATTACAGTTTTTGTAAATAAAGCAAGAACTGTTATTTATATTGTATAGATAAAGAAAGGCAACAGTAGTATACCGGCGTATAGCACATTTCCAACTTTATTAAATCCCAATTTATTTTTATCAGAGATAATGTAAGACAGAAGTATGAAAAAGTCTAATCATACATGACCCAAAACAAATCAAACCACTTTCCTGATTAACTTTATAATATATTTATATACAAAGAGTAATAAATGAAGCATATAAAAATGATGCTAAAATGAAGTATACATTACAACAGTAATCTTCAGCATATACTCCCCATACCAAATACATCAAATTAAAGACTGTAAACAAAGATATACAAAATCGAAAAGGAAGCATGTAACAAATATAATGAAAATTTAAAAAAATAATTTCTTATACCTTGTTTTCTGGAATATTATGTTCACTTGTACGTAGAAAATCGTCGTAGCTGTTTTGAGTGAAATTGCATTTGGATTGAAATTGTACTCCTTTGATGAATTTCTGCCACAAATCGTCACAGTCAATACTCCTGTATACAATAAAGCGCAACACAATAATTTTATCAGGTTTTAGGATAAAAGACCTTTCACAATAATGAAGTGTTTATTGTCGAGAATAATATATTTTCAATTTTTGATGTCTTATTTTGCAGGGTTAAAACATATCTGTGATTACACCGATAGTCTCCTTAACTTCGGACAGTAGTGCGTCCGTAGACATGTTAAAAAAAGTGGATTAAGTTCGGACTAAATCAAATAATAAAAAATATTTTTTTAGCCAAATAAGCGTTTTGATATACATAGATTATCACAAATATATTTTATCAAATATTAAAACATATCGGTTACAAATTTCCTTTTATGTAGTCGTGAATTTCCCACTGATGTTTCAAGATTAAAAGATGTGCTCTGCAGTACAAAAAATATTACCTTACCTTTTACAAAATAAACTTGTCTCGTAATCAGATTTGTAAGCCAGACATTTGCCAATGAATAAGGCTTTCCATTCTGAATAATTTCTATTCATATTGATACATCCATATGATGAAACATATCCAAAAGAACAAATTAGTGCTAAAGTAATATATTTATCCATTCCTTTTCAAGAAAATTGTATGATACTGATTAACAATGATCTTTTGATAACTACCTAAATATAATCATTAACGAGGTTAATATACTATGTAAAGATACAGGTACAAGTCAACATGTGTGTTTGTTTTATAGTATATACAGCTCTTGAATGATATTACCCTTTAACTTACACAATTCTTCATCACCCCATGCACCATACACAATTAAAACATATGCCATTCCTATTTGAATCGTTATATCAAATCACACGATCTAAAATTGCCAAAGCAAAGGCAACATGTTTACAAAAAGACTGAGGGGATTGCAATTTGTTTAGAACACGACCGTAACATTTTTTTTTGAATTTGCCATGGAGTTCGGTATTTTAGTTATACTTTTTTAGACAATTATAATAAATAACAGAGGAAAAATTAATATCGCCGAAAAGTATTTAAAGCATTGGAACAAATTGACTTGTCTCTGAATTGTTTAACTTATCATATACCCTTATATAACGCAAGGTACTTAACTTGCATTTTCTTGAAATAACACTCGGTCGCAAATTTTCGATATATTTTTATTTCGTGGTCGCCTATCCCAATAATTTGTTTATGTCGTAAATTTATACATTAATTTATATGTATATGTTGTATAACATATACATCGTTACTGTCTGAATTGATTCTCGACATGGCTTCAAAGTAGGCCAACCGTAAGCAAGTCCTCTTTACTCAACGAATTTGCAAAATTTTAATACCAAGTTAGAATTCAAATTTGAATTCGATGATTCCTAATGGTCAATCATCTCGCTAAAATTAAATGTTGAAAAACCTAAAAAATTGTAGCTTTACAAACATAATTTTGGGATTTGTTTTTGTAATTATTCTTTCAGTGCGGGGTATTCATTGCCAATTCATTATGAGAAAAGGACTTTTCTCGTTTGAATTGTTTTACATTTGTCATTTCGGGGCCTTTTATTGCTGCTGACTATGCGGTTTGGTTTTACTCATTGCTGAAGGCCGTACGGTGATCTATAGTTGTTAATTTCTGTGTCATTTGGTCTCTTGTGGAGAGTTGTCTCATTGGTAATCATACTACATCTTCTTATTTTTGTATTGGCTTACGGTTGGTCTATTTTTAATGGCTGTCCTGATTTAATAACACAGCTAAGAGACGCGTGTTGTATACCATTGCGAAGATAATGTAGATATGCGGCAAGGTAAGTTTTTTTTTGTGATAAACGACCGTGGAACTAAAAAAAAAAAAATTGGCGAAAGAGTGTAATATAACGAACATGCAAGTAGAGTACCTTGTATAACGTAAAAGCAATAATTCAGAATAAGTGTTTGTTCATTGACAGTGTCATTATGTATCAAATTTATTGATATAATATATTTAAAAGGAATTACCTGAAAATGTGTAAAAACTCATAAAAGTCTAAAGATATCATTTCTTTTATTCAAATTTTATGTTGGAATAGGTTATGAGTAGTTTGGGTATCCAACAATGGTCTCTTTAAGGAGCATAAAGGACTTTCATTAAGACATCTACTTTTAATTGCATGATATGGATAAGAATACTAAAAGGCAAACAAGAAAACTATAAATAAGAAGATGTGGTATGAGTGCCAATGAGACAACTATCCATCTAAGTCACAATGAGTAAAAAGTAAACAATTATAGGTCAAAGTAAGGCCTTCAACACGTAGCCTTGGATCACACCGAACAGCAAGCTATAAAGGGCCTTTAAAAGACTAGTGTAAATCAATTCAAACAGGAAAACCAACGGTCTAATCTACATAAAAAACGATAAACGGGAAACACTTATGAACCACACCAACAAACGACAACCACTGAACAACAGGCTCCTGACTAAAGGACAGGTGCACCGGTTTGAACGTTTTAACAGGCGCCAACCTTCACCCTAACTATGCTACATTATGTGTAATCTATAGCTGAAATTAGAAAGTGATACCGCAGTGGCGGATTTACCGGGGGGCACAGGGGGCACGTGGCCCCCCCAGTCGGGGTCACCAGTAAAATTTCTAACATAGTTTTATTGCTATTGTATAATTTATCTGCTTATCTAGATCGAAAGTCAAGACACAGCTTGATTTGACTTCCTAAACTGGTCGTTAATTGAACCCTGCTTTAACATGTGTGATTTATGACAACTTATCGATGGGTTTGTAAATATTGACACTAAAATCGGTCTTAAAAGAATATGTAAAAATAGATGTTTAGTGTCAAGAAGGTTAGTATCGATATGAGATACGTCTTTTTTACCAAGATGCTCATCCTGCCTTTTTTTTTTACTCAAAACTCCTGTCCTGCCTTTTTGTCAAATTTCATCCTAGCCCCCCCCCCCCCCCCCCCCCCCATAAAAATCAAACGGTAGCTCCTTCAGCATATTTAAAAAAAAATCTTTAATTTTAGTTTCATGGTGCACTCCCCCCCCCCCCCCAGACATTGAGGTTCTGGATCCGCCCCTGTACCACTTTAAGATATGTCTGGCTCAATCATATTTCCAACATTTTTAATGAAAAAAGAAAAAATCATGAAATGAATGTGGTCTATCTTATATATGGACATATCAAAACTTTTACAACTATGATTGGTTAAAACATGCAATTAAAACAAGTCTCAAAGATCAATATATTCAAACTTGGAGTTCAAATATTAATAACGGTCCCAAAACGGTTAACTATTGCATTTATAAAAAAAGTTTCGCTTTTGAGAAGTATTCCAATATGCTAGACGATAAAGACGTTTTCACTCTTTGTAAATTTAGAACTGTAAATCACAAGCTTCCAATTGAATTTGGTAGATGGAAAAACATACCCAGAGAAAATAGAACATGTAACTTGTGTAATAGAAATGAAATTGGAGATGAGTTTCACTACATTTTGGAATGTACATATTTTTCAGAAGAAAAGATAGAAAATACCTTACCAACATTAATACCCTAAAGTATAAAGCAGTTATGAATTTTTCAAAACAATCAAAACTCAAAAATTGTGCAAGTTCATTAGAATCATAAATAAAAAATAGATTCTCTCTGATAAAAAGTAAGCATTAAAACCTATGCTTTCATTTCTTCTCTAAGGAGACTTAATCTTCTACTACCTCATCACATGTATCACATGTCTTATAATATTATCATGTATGTCTCTGTGTTTCTGTATACCATTGTATCAACAAAGGTTTTAACTATCGAAATCCGGATATAGTGTACTAATTTTTGCACCTTTTGTTTACGGTATACCATCTTTTCCGAAAGTTTATTGTTTTCTGTTCGGTATTAAATTAATAGTTAAGATCCATTTTGTTACATCTGTTGATCCGTTAATTTGGCAATCGCCAAAAGCAGTCAGCAGGGTTTAAGAACATCCGTTGTTCGACCTGCTAGTCAAATGCGTTTTGTTAAAATATACTTTTTCACTTTTTTGGTCTTTTGGAAAATTTTGTTTGTGCTGTATTAAGACCCCTCTACCAAGAAATTTTTTTTGCATGCACACGTATAAAAATTGCTGTTTTTATCCAACACAATCATAGATTTGAACGTTGTTTTCAATTTAGACTTTTTTATATACATATTTATATATATAAAATGTCTGAATAATAGCCAACGATAAATCTTACGGGGCGATGGATCATATAATTATAATTATACAAAATATAATATATAATAAGCAAGTCTAAAGGTTGCGATTCTGTAAATATAGACAATGCAATTTCCCATAGGAACTCCCTTTGCAGCTAAAACTGTGACACTTTTACTATGAAGTTTCGTGAAAAATAATATCCTAGAACGGAAAGTTTATATGCACTACTATTTTATTCAAAGGTCAAAATATAGGGCTGTGCGGCATATTTTCAACATTTATATGCCCTGAACTTCTAAGAGTTTAAACTTATACTAAAATTCTATACTACCCTTACCTCCATTTTTGGACCTCCTAAGAATTAAAATTTAGGCGCTACCATGTTTTTCTATACTTGTTACATTCCCAAGTGATGTCTCTATGAAATGAAACACAGAGATCATAAATGGGAACCAGTACGTTAACAAATTAACATATCTATGAATATTATATATCTCCCCAAAAGAGGCGTGGTTTGAGAAACAGCTGTATTTACAAAGTGCAACCTATAGGGTACAACATCACCCAAAAAACATAAAATCATGAACAAATGTTAAATATTTCGGATAACTAATATCCTTCATCAGTAAGATTTCAAATGGTTCTTATCTTGACATGTGGCAGTCACACTGTAATAGTAATCTTGATCGTTATACAAATTATCACGAATCAATACGCTGGTAATTTTTTTTTCAATTTTTATGTTTGGGAGGAGGAATAAATTCCTAAAAACTGTAAGAGTCCTGTACTGAAGCCTGAGTTACAGGAAACAAGTGATGGTAGGGACTCATTCTGTGTTTTTTCATTAATGCCCTCTTGGGA